ATGATGAATGGCAACAGGAAACTCCAGGCGCAGCTTTGCTCCTGCCCAGCAGGGCCAGGGAACTACTCAACAACTCAGTAGTATGTTCATACTCACACACAGATTTAATGAGCCTGTTTTACTGTGGGGATGTGTGCCAAGAAAATCCAACTGGACGCACAGGGGGTAAGTGGGGAAGTAAAAGGGGTGGGCATGGGGAAAGAGGAGGAAGATTGGGCAGAAACCAAAGCATCCGCACAGCCATTTCCAATAACTCCATAAATCTAGTTACTTCCCTTTTCTGGTCCAGTGGTTGGCCACAATGTGACCTAAAACTGGGCTGACCTCTCTGAAATCAACATCTCCCATGGAAATGAAACAACAGACATACTTGTTTTGATGTATGGCTGGGTGACATATTATAAATATTACATCACATAACCACAGAGGATGCCAATCAATAAGAAATTTTTTTAGACAGCACTAAATAAACCATGGGTTCTTGCTTCTGAATACACTCCTTTAAGGCTCCTACTATTGCTTAAATGATTAATAGAAGACATATTGTCAGAAAATGTACTTAAAGTGAAAAACAGTAAACTGTAGAAATATCATTCATTTTTTAGCAATTTTCTAGTGAAAATGTCACATAAATTTACATAGAAGCTGTACTATTAGGCTCTGGGTAACCGCTAGGTGGAAGGCAGACCTCATGCTTTGGGGACGAAGGGGCCAGGAAAATATTTTACCCAAAGCAAAAAAGGCAGCTACATTGCTTTGTATAAACCCGAATGTCACAGGAACTCTGCATTCAAAAGTCATATTGTGAGACCCTAAAAGTTCTCAGGAGCAAATGACGTGGGAAGTTATGAAGACGGAACCAAGCAGAGCCGGACCAGAGGCTGTCAGACAGTCATATACAGGAGCACAAGTCTAAGCTGGATGAAGCAGAGTTGCTGCTTACAGGCCCTAGAATGGAACCGTGTCATACACACATTTATGACATCCAAATGCAAGTGTGAGTGCTTGTTAAACAAAAAAAATAAAATAAAATCAGTAACATTTTTTAAAGTGCTGGAGAATCGGCCTACCATTCCACAAAACGATCAGGTGCTATTCAGTGAATGTGAAATTGGATGGGCACCCATTCAGCACTCCCTCCACTGTTCTTAGTTCCTAATTCTCTCAAAGTGTGACCGTCTTGTACCATTGTGGGTGACTTAATGATTTTCTAAGGTAAATCTGACTCAATGTGATTTTGCCTGTGTGTCAGACCCTCAGGGCCACTTTGCCACAGAGCTTTGAACCAAGTCATTCAGGTTCCAACTCCTGCTGAGAATTTGCATTTCTAACAACTTCCCGGGGATGCTAATGCTGCTGGTTAGGAACCAATTCTGAGAACCACTAGTAGAGCCAAAACCAAAACCAAATCCATTGCCGTTGAGTTGACTCCAACTCATACTGACCCTATAGAACAAAGTAGAACTGCCCCATAGAGTTTCCAAGGAGTGGCTCATGGATTTGAACCACCAACCTTTTGGTTAGCAGCTGAGCTCTTAACCACTGCACCACCAGGGTTCCACTAATAGAGTAGTGGTTCTCAAAATTTATCATACATAAAATCACCTGGAGAGCTTATTAAAATACAGACTGTGAATCAGTATATCTGGGGTGGAACAAACCAGTCTGAAGCCTTGCTTTTGCCATATGTTCACTAACAGCCTTCCCAGCCCATCCCTCAACACCTCTCAGGGGAACAGACCTGTAGTGGGAAAGACAGGCTTGGAGGAGACCCAGGCCAGCTCATGACATGGATGGCTCTTCTAGAATCAGGCCCTCACTAAAGAATCATAACCCAACAAACAGGACTTGGATTGAGAGAGTCTGAATAGTAACTGCCTTTTTTGACATCCAAATAGATCTGATTCCAAGTACACAGTGAGTATTTGAGCTGCCCAAAGGGCCCTGCATTTATCTATAAGTACTCAGTCCTAAGAGATAAGGGTAATTGTAAGTTACCTCCAGTGAACAGTTACCACACGCCTATTACATGTCCAACACTATTTTAGGTGCTGATGAGGCTGCAAAAGACCAGAAGACCCACCAGCCTTTACCCATTTCAAGCCTATTCTTTTGATGTTGAAATATATAAAGTAGTGAGAGAACTATACAAGATGAAATATACAAAAATGGAATGAGATGGTGACGGATGAACTATACCTACCTGAGAGCAGAGTATCTCCACATGCTAGAGCCAACAGGGAGATTAAACACCACTATGCACAATAGTTCTTAATTAAACATCAAAATCACCTATTGACTATTTTGTCTTATTTTCCACCAAATGAATGAGAATGTCTTGGATGGCTCAGAGGTATATCCCTGGTTAAGGACCACTGATCTAGACTGTCCTCCCAATTTTAAAGGCCCTACTAGCAAAGCTGGACTCCACGTCAGATCTTTTGCTCTGACCTCTTACCCCAGAGGTCTTAGTATTTTTGCCTATGTAACCAGTTACAATTTTAAAAAATAGTATTAGCTTTTCTTTTCCTTTTACAACCTTCCAAGCCCTCTTCTTCCTAAGACTTCTCTCATTCTAGAAAAAAACAACAAAAATCTGCTTACAATAGCATTCATATACAGCTTTCTGGCTCCATAAATTGAATGAATGAATGATTCTGTACGTATGTGTGTGTGTGTCTGTACACATACATATGCGTGTATATATGTATACGTGTATACACACACACACACACGTTACTGTTGCATGCTGTCGAGTCGATTCGGACTACAGCAACCCTATATGACAGAGTAGAACTGCCCCACAGAGTTTCCTAGGTTGTAATCTTTATGGGAGCAGATTGCTGGTCTTTTCTCCCATGGAGCTGCTGGTGGATTTGAACCACCAACCAGGGATATATCTCTGAGCCATCCAAGACATTCTCATTCATTTGGTGGAAAATAAGACAAAATAGTCAATAGGTGATTCATCCATCACCATCTCATTCCATTTTTGTATATTTCATCTTGTATAGTTCTCTCACTACTTTATATATTTCAACTTCAAAAGAATAGACTTGAAATGAGTAAACGCTGGTGGGTCTTCCGGTCTTTTGCAGCCTCATCAGCACCTAAAATAGTGCTGAGTTAGCAGCTGAGCACTTAACCATTGTATCACTAGGACTCCTTATACATAGACACATATACATATATACACACACACATAAAAACACAAATACATGTATTTATGTGTGCATGTATAAATACATGCATATACACACATATGATCTATTAAGCTATTTTCAAGAAACAAATAGAAATATGAAGAAAAAAGTAAAAAAAAAAAAAAAAAAAAGGGAAAATATCCCCCCAAAAATGCTTGGTCTAATAAAAATGTTTATTGAGTGAACTTTTTGGACTTGCTTGACCCTTCTAAGACATTTATTGAAAATAAGTTGCCGTAAGAAAATAAAACATGCTTCAAGGTACCACTTCACACCTGATATCAGATTGCTAAATGCTTCAAAGCTGATAAGAGCGTTAAAGAGGCAAATTAAGTTTTAAGTGATTAAGCAACTTAACGCATTGATTTAGAAGTTTGTGAGTATCCATCTATAGGTGTAACCATATATCTCCTACTAGAACCCATGTTCAAATCCCACATGAAAAACTTTCATGGTGGAAAAAGAATTCAATAATTAAAACAAAGTAGGGTTAAGAGCTTTATTCTAACTGGTTTAAAAAACAATCTAAGATCCCTAAAAAATTAATCAAGAAATCTAGAAAATGAGATTAAACATACAAAATTATTTCCAATAAAGAAATAAAGCCAAATCTCTATTGCCTTACTTATATGTAGATGTGTGTATACACACACACATATATAATTTTTTTCATCTGTAAGGTTCAATAGTCTTCCTTGTGTGTCATCCAGTATGTCTTACTGCTTTGCCCTTATACAACATGAATGCTCCAACTACATTCCTAAACAGGTCACCACAGATTTTTGTATGAGTTTCAATAGAACAAGTTTTCTCAAACCATTATCCTCCTTCTCTCTAACCCTTCCAAATGTAATTTCCAGTTGGTCCTATGGACCTTATATTTCCTCCTTTTGCTTTCTCCCTCCAACTCTCCCTCCCTACCTTCTTCCCACATTGATTGGGGGTGGGGTGTTCATGAGAGATCACATTATAACAAAAGAGAGGCTACACATATGAAAAGATCATTAAAACATTTACAAAACAACAGTCAAAAATGAAAGTGTACAGAATTTAAAATGAAAAAAAAAAACCAAAATGAGTCCAGTCAGATGGGTAAAATCAAGAGGGCTCCTAAGAGATGTGATTTGGGATCAAGGATTTCAAAGCAGATGGTTTGGAAGCAGAGAGAAGGGGAAAAAAGCATTCAAACCTTCCTGGTGCATTTCTACTTGGATCCCATCAAAGCACATGGTTGGTGGACACTGAGACAGTTTTATGTTAGAGAGGTATGGTCCGGGCCCTGTGGGACTTTCGAAACTTTGGTGGCTCACTTTTTGTGACTTTGAGGCAGGCCACAGAAAGATCTTACAACACAGGGCAGGTGTCAGCAAATTACAGTCCATAGGTCAAATCTGTCCTATTACCTATTTTTGTTAAAGTATTATTAGAACACACATCCATTCATTTATGAATTGTTCATGGCTACCTCCACACTACAACAGCAGAGTTGAGTAGTTGTAACAGAGACCATATGGCCCACAAAGCATGAAATATTTACTATCTGGCCCTTTGTAGAAAAAGTTTGTCAACCTCTAACCTAGACCACCCAACAGCTTTTCATCTTTGTTGGCTCCTGTGGCCTTAGCTAAGGGAAACAATGGCTCCAGATTACCAAGAGGTAAAGAAAATTCTACATTGTCATGGGAAGTCTACTGATATTTACCAAACATCTACTATATACCCCACAGTAAAATAGCAACCCCCAAAGATGTATTTTTTTCCCCTTCTCTCACCATGCTGAAGCCCGTAGATACTCACCTATATCTCTTGTAGTCTTCCTCATCCTTTTCCAAGCTGACCAGCTCGTTGGGGCATGCCACATTACCCAGTAGGCTGAGGTACTCCAGAGCTGGTGTCACTTCTGCCAGGTGATCAAGCAGACTCTCCAAATCAGTGATGTGACAAAGGTTAAGGATCTTGATCCAGGAGACAAAAAGGCTTAGCACAGAGCATGGACCACAACTGACAGGCATAGCCCAGCAGCTGACACCTGAGATGACACCAGTGAGGGTTGGAATCAACTAAGCCATGCATTGATAGATTGCTAGTTTTTCATTTCCACTGTTGGGGAAACAGTCCACTCTTCTCTGGGAATGTAGGGTTAACCCAGATCGGTTGAGTAAGAATGAATGAACTTAATTGTTTTATTATACTTTTCTTTCCTCTATTGTTCTGTTTTTTTTATTTAAATGATCAAAGGGTAGATTCCATATAGTAAAATATTTTGCAATATACAAATCCATAAAACTTTTTTTTCTAATAAAGCAAGAAATTATTTCTTAGGCCATAGAGGGAATTTACCATTAAAACGTATGGGAATGGCATGGATGCAAACAGAGATTGGCACTCTCCTCTAATTGAAGAGATTGTGGTGGAGTTAAGCATTGCTCAGTGGCCTCAATGGTGGCAAGAAAACATTGGGTTGAGGTAAAGGAGAACAAGAAGGAAAAACTAGGAGGAAAAGACAAAGAGAACAAGTTCCGATAGGCTCAGGCAAAGGCAAGTCAAAATGCACTCTGTGAGAATCTGTTATGAATCTAATATTTATGAAGGAGGAAATGAAAGAGAAAAGAACGAGAAGAGGATATGGGGTGAGATTACTCCACAGGTTATCCTTTCTAAATCCAATATTCAATCAAGGCAAACACTGAGACCCCTGCAAACCAAATAAGGCAAGAGTCACAGAATCAGGGAGTCACAGGTATTGAGAAGGACCCAATAATAACCTAGTCTACATATCAACTCCTGGCTTGAGCCAGATACAGAAGAGCTGAGCCCTAGACAAGATGATGATCCAGATCCATGAATGGAGTACCGGACTATCAGGCGGCAATGGCAAGGAGCCTATGAACGAGAAGAGTCAGTCAGTGTCAGTGGACAGAAAGAGGACCTTACTGGGAATGGCAGGAGAGCACATAGTGGCAGAAGGTATAGCAAAAACACAGTAAGAGTCAGTGTACAGTTTCTAGGAGTGAAGTCCACCTGGACCTGAGAGAGGAAGGTAAAATCAAAGAAAAAGGCTGTCCTTGCTCTGCCAGGAAGTTATCTAACCTTAGAATTTACCTAGGTTTTTCTAATACTTCAGGTTATCAGAGTAGAATGAACTCCAAATCCAACCATTGTTTGAATCCAGTCCCTAACATATTTGCCAAGAGGTCACCATAAGGCAGCACATTACATCTCTGACAACCATAATGAAGAGGCTTCCTTCCAACTGGGATTGAGTCGTCCTCTAACTTCTACCCACTGACCTAGTTCAACCACTTGGGGTCACAATTAATAAGGCGTTCTTCTCTTGCATATGATGACCCTTTGGCATTTGAAGTTCTTATTTCCTTAAACCTTATATTCTGCAGGCTAAGTTCCTTCAAAAATTCTTAATAAACATGCTCAGTCACTGCCATATGTAAGAACAAATGTTGTACTCTGGAAGGAAGCAATAGAGAGATAATGAGAGGGAGAGCACAAGCAAGAGAGAAAAACCAGTAAACGGATGGTATGAGCACATTCATCTACTGTTTGCTTTAATTTGCCAACATCATCCCCATTTTCTAAACAATGACAGGAAAATGGATATGGAAGTTATTCATCTTTCAAATCTTTTAAAAATAACATCCAGGAATGATCATAAGAGACCACTGGAAGGAGGATGACAGGAATGGAAGCACATAAGGAAGATTAAATGGAAGGTCCCATTAGGGAGGTAAGTTTGGAAATATAGTAGGTAAGTGGCCGGGAGTCAAAATATTCACATACCTCGCCACCAAAGACAAAATGTGCCTACTACTTTTTGAAATGAAATTCAACCATTACACTCTTTAAGAAAATCTTCTAAATATAACCAATTAAAGTTACAGTGAACAATTTCAGAGAAAACTCTTGGCTTTTCCAACAGATTGTATTTTTGTATGCTTCACATTCATTGTTGGGAGGCAGTGGGGGAGGGAGGGCGGAAGGAAGGAAGGAAGGAAGGAAGGAAGGAAGGAAGATACAGGAGAAAAAGAAAAGAAGCCTGTCAGTATTCTACCAGCACTCCCTTTAGAACAGGGACAGAGGTGCCTCAGAAAGTTCTGTGCTTTAGAATGTTTCTTTAAAATTTTCTAAGCCCCTTCCAGTGCCCAGGAATGCTCAGGGCCAGCAGTGTCACTCAGGTAGTGTATTCCACAATTGAACTTGGGCCTCAGTCCCAGTCCTGGTTTGGGGTATGCTCCAACTGTCTACCCTATACAAGGCCCAGAGGAGCTCTAGGACTCATGACTATCAGGTTGTCCTGAAGCCTCAAGGCCAGGTCCTAGTTCCAGTGGGGCAGCCAGATGAGCTCATCATTCCCTCTGGCGAATGCAGTATTTCTTTGGTGGAATCACAAGGGAGTGTTGTTGCTGTCGTTAGGTGCCATCGAGTCAGTTCCAACCCACAGTGACCCTATGTATAACAGAACAAAACACTGCCTAGTCTTGGGCCATCCTCACAATCGTTATGCTTAAGCCCATTGCTGCAGCCGTGTCAGTCCATCTCATTGAGAGTCTTCCTCTTTTTCACTGACCCTCTACTTTACCAAGCATGATGTCCTTCTCCAGGGACTGATCCATCCTGATAACATGTCCAAAGTATGTGAGCCATCCTTGCTTCTAAGGAGTATTCTGGTTGTACTTCTTCCAAGACAGATTTGTTCGTTCTTTTGGCGGTCCATGGTATATTCAATATTCTTCTCCAACACCACAATTCAAAGGCATCAATTCTTCTTTGGTCTTCCTTATTCACTGTCCAGCTTTCACATGCACAAGAGGTGACCGAAAACACCATGGCTTGGGTCAGGTGCACCTTAGTCTTCAGGGTGACATCTTTGCTTTTCAACACTTTAAAGAGGTCTTTTGCAGCAGATTTGCCCAATGCAGTGCGTCTTTTGATTTCTTGACTGCTGCTTCCATGGGTGTCCAAAATTGTGTGGGTGTGCTGATTTGGGGTGATTCAAATTATTTATATAGACAAGGGCCTCAGATGCCCTGGGGGAAATTGTGGTCTCTACTTTGGATGAGAAAGTTTGCTTCGGCCAACTTATTATCTCTTAGGAACAAACTCCTTAAATCTGGGGTATTTTTCCTCAGTGAGTTCCTGCATGGTGGTACAAAGGTTTTGCACTTGGCTGCTAAACAAAAGAATAGAGGTTTAAGACCACCCAGAGGCACCTCAGAAGAAATCTACTTCTAAAAAATCAGTGATTGAAAACCCTATGGAGCACAGTTCTACTCTAACACAAATGGGGTCACCATGAGTCAGCAACTGATACTTGTACTTTTCATCTACTATATGAAGGTAGGAACATGACAGAATGGAACTCAAAACTGGTGAGATGTTTAAGTTGAAGAAACACTGGGCAACTGAGTTGGACTGAAATCCCAGTGGTTTCCCAACATTAAATGATCAGTGATGGGAAGCCTACCATACCACCATCTGGGGAAGTAGGCTCAGTTTAGTGTCAGTAAATCATCATATTTCTTCTGAAACCTCTCACATAAACCATATGTAGATTTAACATGGAGCTAGTAAAGCTTATGTCTGAGGGTTCCTCGTTTGCATAGGTGCCTTCCAAGGCCCTGGGAAAGCCCCTAGCAATATAGTCACATGATCATGTATTTTTGTAAGAATTTTTAAAGTAAATTATTTAAATCACAATTGATTAAGATCACTGTCTCTCTCTATTCTGACTTTTCCTATCACACTTCCCTTGAGTTGGTTGACATTGGAGTGGCTGTGGGAATTCTGGGACCTGGCTAAGGGAAAAATTGTACTGGGGTGACATTTAATTAGAATTTAGTATGGGTATATTCGTGTGGTTTGCAGTCACTTCTGTGTCTGGCTAAGTTATTACAACAATACCAGTAGAAATGGCTTCTAGTAATATTCCTACCACCTGACACAAATATCAGGAACCAACATAAAACTGATGACAAAAGGGTTAATGAGATAATCAATTCAAAGAACATTTAAGATGAAGTCATTGCACATGCACATGAACACACACAAACAACTAACTTGAAATTTACTGAAATCTTATAGCTTACACATGAAGGAAACATGTCAAGTTTTTCCAAAATTTAGTAATCCTAAAATTGTAAAGACATTATCAATGAGTGGTAAAACTGAAAGACACTTTTCTAAACTATTAAAAATAAAAATCAATTTTCAATCAACCATGCTAACAGATTGAATTATCTTTCTACTCTCTCTTCTAAAAAATATAAAATTTCATCATATAAAAAGTTTTAAGGACTTTACAGGAAAAAAAAAAGTAGTTAAAAAGTTTTTTATATGGGCATGCCCAGCATAAAAAATCATGTTACTTTTCTTAACATTTTGCTATTTGTCGACTTTTTGAAATTTTTAATTTGCCTTGATATATTTTTATTCCAAATAAACAATCATTTTTATAACCAATTTGGCATTCATACTTATATAGTCTTTGCCTTTAAGAGGGCCCCCTGAAATTCTATAAGGTGTGGACCCCATAAAATCTGGATCTGCCCCTGAACAGGAGGCTGTGGAGAGGTGGACTTGTTCAAATGCCTTGGTCATGGGAATTTCCTGGGCAAAGAGTCTGCGGGCTTCAAGAAGCTTCAGCCATCCTGTGCCTGTGAACCCAACCAATTTCCTGGAGCCTGCTTCATTTAGTATATTTTGTGTGGTAGAAGCTACTCCCTCTTCCTAAGCCTTTCAACTGCTACTAGATGATGACTTGGACTGGGTCAGGTAGTCTCCCCTTAATCCAAACCAGAAAGCAATCACCCCAGTCTCTGGAAACTCTCTATCAGATCTCATCTTCATGTTGATGCCACCACCACTGGATGTGTTGAAGTGAAACACAAGAAGGAGTTCTAATTGGTTTCTTCGTCTCTGGGGT